AAATGACCAAACCCATAACACGCCTCCATACTAAATTTAGAAACAAACTGAATCAGGATGGTACCATATCATGATGGAAACAAAGAGAGTGTCGCACAAATATAAGACAAGAGGAAAAAAATTGCTCCAACTGATGATCTAGACAAGAAAAAATTAGTGGAAGGAAACAACGTAATTTTTTGATAGTGGAATCTTTAAGTTGACATGTAGCTTGAAAAAATTTCTATGTATGCTTGAATATTTTGTATTTTAACAATACAATTATACCAAATTATACCAAACTTTATTTCAAATTGGATCACTGTCAACATTTATTCTATGTTCATCTCAACGTAAAATTTACCTGACTTACTGCATATAAAATTAGGTACTTCTTCAGTGTGTAATAAATGAAATACGAAACTAGACGCTAACCTAAACATACTTTATGCATCAAAAAACATTCTACTGCACAACGGAGGTCGTTACAAATTCAAATGCTCCAAAAGATGTCTATCTTAACTAAAAAGAAATTTTGGGCGTTCCTGCAGTATTGAGGTAACCAATATCGAGGTAACTAGTTTTCGCCTACTTTACATCAAGTTATGTGAAGGTACTGAAACCTATCAACAAGGGGGTATTCACTTGACCAATACAGTCAAGAGAATCCTCGAAAAACTAAAATAAGAAAAACTGAAATAATATTATGGCCTAATCCTAACCCGGTACTCATAATTCCAGAGTACCGAATTTTGAACAAAAATTGAAAAATCGACTGTCAGCCCAAACGATTTTAAAAAACAAATTCTTGTTTTACATGTTCCTCTGAGCTCTGGAAAAGCAATCAAAAGTTGAAACTTTTAAAAAAATTTAATTAAAACAGTGGAATTTTAAGCAAAAAATTGCAAAAATAAGATTTTTCGAGTAAAATCAACTTTATTTTGATATTGCTGCGCAAAACAACCCCTGAATCTTAAGTAAATAATAAGCATTACCAGACAAGCAGTCTAAAAATAAACGCCAAAATTCATCAAAAAATTTTAAAAAAAAACAAAAATTGAATTTTAAACGCAACCGTCCGCCCAAACTAGTTTCCAAACCAGTAATTAGTCAGAGTGAAAACAAAATCTCACATAAGCTTGCTTTGACAATAATAAACATAACATGTAATTGCGTGAACCAACTTGACGGCTCAACCACAAATTGTCTGTCTTGGTTTGCAAAACAAAGTAGGTGGCAGTAGTGAGCTATAATATAGATTTAAGGATAAATGGCCGTCTGTAACTTCAATCTCCTTTATTTCTGAGTGGGCGCTCATTGCTCTGAGAAAGGGTGGAAAAATAAAAAAGATAGTGGCTCCAAAAGATGGCCAAACCTGAGTAATCTACTGTTCTTGCTCAAAAGCGCGAGTTGCTAAGTGTGCCATGAAAATTAACAGAATTGTGTTAAACACATATTGCATTTATCATAAATGAATCAATAAATTCAATTTAATCCTTTCTATGTCATTTTTAAGGTATAAAGTATACATTAATAATCATAAAATTGAGTTTTATTTCAAAGCGGCCACAAATCTATTCTACACGGGGGTTACATTCAACAGAGAATATATAGATGTCAAGCTATAGTCATATTGCAAGATTATGAAGTGATAATTTTTTGAATTAAGCTATTATAAATTATTTTAAATTAAATCATGAATTATAAAAAATAAACAGCTGTGAGATTACATATGTACTTGTCTAAACCATACTGAATATATTTATGACTTCACAGACAAGTCTTGTTATCTTTCTATGAGTCATAATGTATATTTACACTTAGCAGAAGACATGTTTGGACTTGTCATTCAATTAATTAAAACTGATTTAGATCACGATTATGAGTTCATAAAGAGATAAAATGAACCGATGGTGTAGAGTTCAATGAACATAGGGAACATTGGACATTAGGGGCGTACAAGAGGTATACCTAAATATGATTTGAATTTTCAAAAATGGTTATAATTATTCTGTTATCATAAATTCTGAATTTGAAGGATAATTTTTCCTTTAAAAAAATCGCCACCATTATTGGAAATCATTTCAGATATTTATTTTGTGCTGAACAATCTGAACATTTGCTAATGTAGAGAGAAAGTTCCTACTGAATAAAATTTAAAATCTGAAAACAAATTTCACAAATGTACAAAATTTCAAAAGTTCTCAGAAAGTTTTGTTGAAACTGGTTATCCGGATATGGTGACCGTACATTTGAACCCATGTACATTTGAACCCATGCGTATATCCACAGGTTCAATCTATATGCGGGTGCTAATATTCATGGGTTAGGGTTCGTATGGGTTTAACTATCCGTGAAACAAAAAAAATTCCATGGGTGCAATAGCATACAGGTGCAATTGTCATGGGTTCAAATGTACGTGGGTTCAAATGTAATGGAACCGATATATATGAAAAACCGAAAGATTCCATATTATAAATAGCTGAATTTGGGAATAATTCAAAATAGCTTATATTTGAAAAAAAATTGTCATCTTTAGCATCTAACTCCTATGGTCAGACGAAAAAATCGGCGCTCCAGAAGTGTGTATACCGATATAGAGGTACCGGTAACTAATTTTGTTCGCCTATTCTACATCAAGTTATGTAAAAGGGCTGAAACCAATGAGCAGGTGGTATGGTATATTCATTGGCAAACACAAACAGTCACCGGACTCGCAATATAATTAAAATATTCTCAGTTCAACCGGAAAGCTTAATAAGAAAAAAAGGAATAAAATTATGGCCCAACCCTAAACTGTTACATATACTACGGGAGTACAAAAGAAACTTTGTTTCACTTCAGACAATGTATAAGATAACCAAGGAACATTTGTTTCAACTATGTTGCCTTACCAATCTCAAGTACATTCAAATGTTCACGGTAATTCATTTTGGACATGTCTGTTTCATATAATAAATCGAATATCCAGATATCTTCAAGCCCAGCGTTCTTTAAACTTTTTTCATAAAGACCAAACGACACAGAAATAATTTTTCGCGACGTTCAGGAACTTCAATGAGACCGATGTGCTGGCATTTTCTTGCACAAAAGATCGAATCTCCGCTTTATTTTGGTTATGGTGGGTCTCAGTAATGGTTCCAAACCTTTCAAATTTCGCACATGGAGGTAAAAGGAAAAAGGGGGCTGGAGGACGGGGGCCGAGACCCCCAGTTTAAAAAGCCCAGATTTAAAATAATAATATAAATAGATTTCAAAAGTCCTTGGAAAATTGAATATTTCTACTTAATTTACGGTAGTTATACTTAATTTTCAATCTGAAAAAATGTCATTTTGAGCATTTCTATATCTGATGATCATTCAAAGTAAATACTGAAACTATATAAAATTATGGTGACACATTACGAGCACTGACTCAGAGGTGAAGAAAACTCATCTCTGAGCAAAAATATGGTGACAATTAAACTGAAAATAAAGGATTAGAGCGCAGCGTTATTAACAGGGCTTCATATATTGGCAAACCTACCAGACATAGAACATAGATAGACATATTGATCAGACAGTACTTGACGTCAATTCAGATCAATTAAAGTTCTCAGGAATCAGAATTGTAACCATGCGCAATATCATGACGTGAATTTATAACAAACGGAAATTCAATATTATATCTGACATTAATAATAAGGGAGGCATTATATACAATAAACCAATATCGCTAACCATACCTATTATTATTCAGCGATATCCAAATGAATCCAATATACTGAACAATTTGAAATTAATTACAATTTACATAATAATAGGCAATTCATTTTGGTCAGACGAAAATTAGTGGCTGAGAGTGTTAGTGTGCAGCCGGACTCTTGAATTGCATAATATGGTCATGTTTATCCCTGATACAGAATCCTTGCATTATACGCATAGGCATTGGGGAAGAATTGGGAGTTGGTCTTGCGGAGTTAGACAAATGATAATGTCTGATTTTCAGAAATAATGATATTTCCCTTGGGCTTAGTGAATTCTGGTCAGAAGTATAGGGATCTAGGACAGGGCTACTCAACTGGCGGACCGCGGTCCGAATCCCGACCTTTCGGGTATTCGATTCGGACCGCTCATAATTCTTCATTTTGAATCATTAGCTCCACTTTTAAAAATTTCCTTTATAAAATCACTTTTATAGATTTAAAAATATATATGAAAAGAACTGTAATCCCATAATAAACAATCTTAATTAGCTAATTATCATTAGTCGGTCGAGGAATTGCGTGTTTGAAGATGCCGAAATATAATTTCTGGAAAGTCTGGACCCAAATATTTTCGAAGTTTTGTATGCGAACGTTCGGTAAAAATAGTTGAGTAGCCCTGGTCTCGGATACTATACCCAGAATAGTAAAAATTTTTGCATATTCCGCATGAACCTATTTCATAGACAAATATTGGTCAGATTATAAAATACTTAAAAGTAATTTCAGACATTAAAATTGACTACTTCCAAATGAAAAATTATAAATCTATCAAAATAATGTTTATATAAACTATTACGCATCACTAAATAATATTAGAATGTTCCATATCTCTAGAAATAATCTACAGATGAAGCTAGATACTATATCTCCGATACATCTTTGAATCGAGCATTGCCTACTGTGCCGTTTTATGCAATAGGTCTAATTGATATGAGGCAAAAGATACAGTTTGGCCAACGTTTAAAATGCCCGCACAGATGATCTACATCAGAATAGTAGATAAAAAAGAACTCTCTCTCTCACTCTATATATATTTATATAAGATAACTGAACTTATCTTATGTTCTAGATTTATCTAAATTGAGAGCGAAATAAACAATTTATATCTTAGATTGTGACTTGTTCTCAAAAAAAACATTTTTACTTCAAATGTTACTTGTTCAAAAGGTGAAAACTAGGGATAAGCAAATCAAGACAAAATAGGAGCCTTTTTAACACAAACTACAGATAAGCTAGAGATAAGAAATCAGAGATAAAAAATAATACTCAAAATACCTTGTTCATATCTCATCCTCAAATATTTCTCAAACGTTTCTTCTCCAATCAATGTGTTGACCTGTAACAAGTTCAGAGTTTAACTAAGATTTAACATTAGTAATCATTTTTTTTGTGGATTTTAAGAAATCAGAACCAACTAGAAGAGAGCTATAGAGAAATCATTTTACTTAATCCAAACCCTACAAAACCTACTTCATGTATTTCCAACGATCCTTGTATGACACATTCTGAATCAGGACAGGATATGGACAAGGCAATCCCATCTTGAATGAGGAGATCGACGTACGTCTGCATGCACTGAAATTATAATAAATGTTATGACACTAACCATCATTAGAAAGAAGTCTAACCCAGTGGTTCTCAAACTTCCTTGATCCATTGCCTTCAAATGACTCTCAACACTTATGGCTCCTGTTTTTTTTATAAAATTACCTAGTTTTGCTTTCACCGCGACCTCATCGGTAATTTTAGTGAACAAGTTTGAAAGTAAAATAAAACAAAGTAAAAAAAATAAAAGCATTGCAGTCGGAGAATTAATTGAACATATCAGGATCAATTTTTTTTTTCAAATTACTATATTATCACGAATGCTATCTAGAGAGAGTCTTTCAAAACCCAACATACGAAAGAAAAATAATTAAAACACTTCAGTCAAAGAATTAAACAAATCAGAGTCAATTTCATCAAATCACTACATTCATCGCGAATCGTATCTAGAGAAGGCCCTCCAAAACCCAACGAACAAGCAAAAGAATTAAACAAATCTCAGCCAATTTATTTTGAATTCATATAGTTATGGAAAATGGTATCTTGGCCCCGGGGAACTGCTTCATAGCCCCCTATAGGGGTGGAAGGCCATGTTTGAAAAATTATGATTTATAGTATTGGTATCTGGAGTAATTATGTTTTCGCCTATTCTGCAATAAATAAACGAGAATATCGGTCAGAGACCGAAGACTTATCGATCAAAAGTTAGGGGATCCCCCAAAACAGCGATCTCACTCCATAGTGACACCTTCTGTCCCATCACAAATTGATTAATAACTCGCTAATTATACGACATAATTCATCCAATATCGATAGGCTTCTGGTCCGACATATGATGAATGCACATGCAAAATCTGGAGCAGATTCAATCTCGCTTTCGTGAGATATCGCGTGCATCTAACAGACAGACACACAGCCAGACAGACAGACAAATACCTATCAACATACTTACCGATTAAAATCGATAAGTAATTACTGACGAATAGAAGTCACAACTCACAGAATTACAGAAGAAGCATCCACACTGTTCCAGGGTGAATCTATTCCCTGAAGTGATTTCTTCGTAGCATAATTTGCAAGGGTTAGATGGAACATCTGAAAAATGATAAAACTTTTATTCAAAAGTTCTCCTTGAATCCGGAGAATGTACTTCAGTTTGCAACAGCCCGCGCTGCCGAAGCAGGCTGTTTTAATGTAATGCCTCCCTTATTAAAGTCAACATATTACTCAACATACAGACATACAAATGTGTTAATGAAAAGTGAGCAAAAATAGAAAATACACAATATTAGATGTCTGGATGTGGATGAACAGAGGGGAACAGCTTTGTGATTCCAGAAATTAGCTTAGTATTAGTAATTGGGTCTAAGTGAATGCTGTAACTGTTTCATAAACAAAAATGTGAAAAAATCTGATGTTTTTTTAAATAAAGTCTGTCTGGTGGGAATGGATTTCACATCACATTTTTAGGATAGAATAGGATTTACATATTTATCCCGGGGGAGAGGAAAGTCAATAAGACGGCTTAACCATATGGCGAACTACGACCTCTCGTCCGGTTACCGGCAGGGATGGCCAATTCGAATAAAGTATTCGAATGTATTCGAATATCTCGTCATTCGAATATCGGAATTCACGTTCATAAGAATATCGGATATTTGTATGACGTCACACATTTTTGACGCCGCTTTCAAGACGTTTCCGTTGAATGAAAACATTCTCGATAGAAACTTGCGCGTGATTGTTTTCATCACTCATCAGCGTAACGTGTTATTTAGGCCCGTAAACGCCTTTACGATTGTGTTATTTTCTCTAAAACGAAAATTTTCCACAAATTTGTTCCACGATAACGATAACATTTATTTTATTTTTGTACTCGCACAGAATTGTGAATCTGGTAAATACCTTTATTGGCGGCGAGTTTCTAAAGACAACGCAACTTTTTGATTGAAAAGCGGCAATTCAAAATACTGAAAATAAAACCGTAAACAACATAAGTTTTATTGAGGCCCGCGAAAATTGAAAAAACGCTTTTCTAGGCAGTGAAAATTGCAAGATTTCGTGTGCCTCTGGCACACATTATGTTTGGTTGGCGTTTAGAAACATATCGTCAGTAATTGAGGGCGGGATTTGCCTGATTATCCATTACTTTCAATTGCCGTCGAATATTTTCGGGTTAACACGATACAAGGTTTGAAACGCGACTTTTTCCCTGGTTGTGAAGATGTATATGATATAATTAATCTAAAGTATATTCAATCAATTTTATTGTGATGAAATAAATTTTACTCTGAGATATTTTACTCTGAGCATTTCGATCGAGCGGAGTCACTGTTAACAAGTACATTTAGATATTTGCCGAATTCGCAAAATACGGATAAAAACAATATTTACTCGGACAGTTTACCTCACGTTTTTGTTTTTATGGCCCCGGATTGCAATGGTATATAAGAGTGGTGAGGATTTTATTTTGTCGACGCAACCGCAGAAGACAATTAAATTAATAAGAGCAAGACATTTTAAATATGTCCGTGACGGTCACGAATTCATCACTTTGCACAACAGAAAAATATATATTCGTTGTTATATTATTTGTTGTAAAAGTCGACTCTTTTAACAGGTGGCATAATCGCGGCGATGAATATGTATTTTTAATTTACTGCTAAACTTTATATGTATATTCATTGTATGAAATGAATTATTCTCTACACTTAACAGGATTTTATATAATTATTTGAGATTTTTCTAACGGCGATAACGAGATGGCAAGATTGCAAAAATACATATTAAAATTAAATACATCAAGCAGTTTATCTCGTAATTTTAGGTCACAGATTGCCGTGGACCGAATAGTAATGTTTTTTTTGACGTAAGAAGAAGCAACCGCGAGTTATGTTGGACACATTAAATTAATATATAAAGATATTTTAGAATCTCGTAGTTGTCATGGATTGAATATTTTACGTAACAGAATGATCATTATACGCTGACAAGACGGCTCTTTGAACGAGCGCGGAATCGCGGTGGGTTTTACAGGCGGCAATGAGAATTTCCGACTTTGAAAATCCTGGCTGCGCGCTGGCAGTGGTGGACATCTATTCTCTACTAATTTATTTCTAACTCCAAACACAACAATATGTTACACATAATATCAATATGGTTCACATAAATTTATATACAAACATACTGGTAGGTAGTAGAATACTCTAGGCTTAAATATTAGAATTTTTAAAGGCATAATGGATTTTCCATTGTTGTTGCCTGTATTGCCAATAAATTTTATTACTCTCAGAAAATATACACAATTATCTGAATATAAAGAATATTTTTGTCAATAGACTCGACTATTATCGTAATATCATGGTACCAATGATAGAAAGCGTCAGACAACTCCTTGGCTATCTTTTCATATGGTCATTTCTACAAAGTGAATAATTTTGATAAACTGACTGTGTCACAAGTTGGTATTATTTTTTATTAAAAGCTATAAACTATCAATTACTTTGTGTACATATACTGTTGGTCTGTGGCTTCATTCTGATATTTCTATTGAAGCTTATTTCCTAATTTACTGGGTTTTAATCAACTAAAAAAAAATGTCTTATTTTCGATTTTAGAATGTATTCGGAATTCCAGATTCGAAAACATTATTTTAGAATGTATTCGGAATAGTTCAGTATTCGGAAATGGCCATCCCTGGTTACCGGTCCATGTCAGGTAGGTACCCAGTACCGGTATGGGATTAGTTAGCCAGTTCAGCAGTTATTTGTTCTTGGAAGCATGAATTTTTGTTGTCATTATTTAGGCAGTGACCGGTACAGTACAACTTTCACTTCGCTAGACCCCAGTACGGTAACTAGACTATATAAAACAAAACACACAGCTTGCAGTTTGTCGCTGAACTGGCAGAACGAGGATGTCTCAGGTTACCGTATGTTTACGCTCATGATTCTTCAATCAGTTTTCAGTTCGTTTGCATCATTCATTTTAAACGCCTGTTATGCTGATTATGAAGCCAAAAATAATTTTATACCCATTGCCTATCCCTGTATTTACCGGTACCGGTACTGCGGACAGATTACCTCCAGTATTATTGTTATCTCCGGTCGATTCCTCTTCCAAAACTTCCACCTCAATAACTTCATGATTCCCTTCCATAACAATGAAACTTTCAGCCCATCTCTGTCGATAATTCAATAAAAAAACGTAAATAATGGGAAATATGGACAAACGATAAATCAAGACAAAAGCCGGAAATCCAAAACAAAACAAATGATTGAGCCCGATGCCAGATACTTTACAGTTTCGTGAATTCAATTTTGATATATTTTGTGAACATGTAGTTTTATTTACATAAAAATAGTTGATTTAAAAAATATATATATTTTCAACATTTATTTCTATAATTTGGGGAAATAAAAATTCATTTGGTAACTCAAATAAAAAAAACTATAAATATTAATCAGTTTCTCGAACTGGCAACATAACTTTTCCAACCTTTAAACCTGAAATATCTGCAATTTATTTTGACAACAAGGATAGGATAGGATAGGATTTACATAGGATAGGATAGGATTTACATATTTTTCCCAGGGGAGAGGAAAGCCGATAAGACGACTTATCCATATGGCGAACCACGGCCTCTCGTCCGGTTACCATTTCAAGTCGGGTATGGGATTAGTTTTTACTGTATTGTTTGTTTTCGGAAGCATGGACTTGGTGGTGGAGGAAGCCGTAACCGACCAGCGGTTACGTGAACCACCCAACGACGGCGAGGAGTCCAGCAATCCTCTCGCACATAACCATCCCTGCATGGGAATCGAACCTGCGAACCCACGCAGAGTGATTAGAGGTGCGGTGGCGAGCGTATTCCTAACGCTTAACCCGTTGAGCCACACCGCCGCGCCGTTAGTGAATTTTTAGGTTCAGGGTTTCCTAAACTGGACTCTCAGTCCTCAACGCCTACTCATGAAATTTACAAGCAAACGCTTTCATTAGGTACCATTTGCTATGACTACATGGTTTGAAGTTAATAACCAATGACTTGTTTAATTTCTTTGACCTCGATGTATTTGTTTCCGTGCTTTTGTCTATTGACTTCGTATAATTAGATTCAGATTTAGATTATTAAACATGGCGCATGAAATAACTGATAAAATTTTTTTTTATATATATATATAAAAGCTGATGTTCACGGAGTGTTCAGGGTCTTTGTTTTTAAATCGTACAAATTTTAAAACCGCTGGTTTAGACATTATTAGTAAAATATGCAGATAGCATATATTTGATCCGTCGCAGAATTGCTTATCGTAATAACTACTAAATCAGGAAAAGAAAACAACGAACGCTTGCCACGTTATCTCTCTCATTCCACGTTGGATGTCGCTAGAGTGTTGTCTTTTTTTTCGATTTTCATACCGAATCGCACATGAAAATGTTTATCCTGGTCGACATGACGCTTGCGTGCAAGACAGACAGACCACGGCTCTCGTCCGATAAGTTTAGAATTGGTAATAGCTGATCAGTTATCTGCTGCATAAGACCAACCGACCCATTGCACCACTTTGCACAACTGTCTATATAAGAGATCATATTATACATATTTATTCTAATGTTTTTTGTTTCATATTTGTCAAAAGGTGTGCATGCCGCACATTTGTGTTTTGGGCCAGCTCGGTCTTGTGCATGCGTCTCGTCTTAAATAATAATAATTGTTCATTTATTTATGTATCACTATTACGAGGCGAATACATACAAGTATAAACTTGATGTTAGAGGAAGCCTTTAATCGGAAATCGTTTACGTAAATCGACCTGCCATATTGATGAGATCAGCAATCAATATCCACATAGTCATTCTTCAGAGTGCCTAACCAGGGCTGTAAGGTCGGATCAAACTGACAAAAGACTCTCGACTCCGACTGAGGGAAACGTTGGCTTTGACTCAAAGTTGTAAAAAATACCGACAGCAACTCCAACCCCGAACAACCGGAATTAAAGTTTGATGACAAAAACTTAGGTGTACGCAAGCCATATCTAATAGTTAGGAACGCATAAAAAAATGATACATTTTGAGTTTTTATGGAATGGTTTTGACTTATTTTATCGTCATTAAAAGTCTGCAGTTCCGATTCTGGAGATTTCGAATCCGGGGAATGTGAATATAGACTCCATTTAGGACATGCTGAACTCCGGAACCGGAAACCCGCACAGTGTAATCAGAGGAGTGTGTTGTTCTAAATCAGGGTGGTCCAAACCCAGGCCCGCGGGCCACATGTGGCCCGCAGCGTAATTTTCTGTGGCCCGCGTTGCCTTTGCTGAAGGGTAATCAAAACTCGCATTAGGTGTTGTTTCGTCATAAAAATAATCAGAAAATCTTTTCGACATCTTGTTACATCACTAATGTCCCTAAATTGACAAGTGTCACGGCTAGCCGAAGCAACTAGCGAAGTTGAACAGCGTGCTTAGATAGTCCAAATGGTTCCATTACATTTGAACCCACGTACATTTGAACCCATGCCAATTGCACCTGCATACTATTGCACCTATAGAAATTTTTTTGTTTTGAGGATATTTTAACCCATACTAACCCTAACCCATGGGTTTTAGCACCCGCATATAGATTGAACCCGAGGATATACACATGGGTTCAAATGTACGGTCACCAGTCCAAATTGTTCACTGGTCTTCTATCTTTGTTGGGAATATATTCCAACAGTTATAATAACTGAATGTTAAAGTTGTGGCCTAAGAATATAATTCCCTCCGTGACTTTTTGAAACCAGTCTAAACAGTATATATCACAAAAAATGCTTCTACTATGTCAGAAAAATTAGTAATTACTCTTCTGTACCTTGCATTTGGTAAAATTTGATAATCAATCAATCTGTAGTTATGGCAAATAAAATCTGAAACGGCATTTTGCTATCATGGGAGAAATGAAAATTTCCAAATTTTGAAGGATTTTGCTCTGAGAACCTCATCAATTTTCGAGAGCACTTGATTTTTCTCGTGTTTTTCGCATGTTGTTTTTAGATAATAAATGACAAATAATGATCAATTGTTTGCACAATAAAAGGGTTTGTTTTGTATTTACCTTTCTACGTATTTCTGACACTATTGTGGCCCGCGAACAATGCAAAAATGATTTTGTGGCCCGCGAAGGCGACAACCTTGGACCACCCTGTTCTAAATGCTTAGAACGCGAGCTACCGTCAAACTATCATTGTTTTCATAAATGATCTATCGTCTGCCGCCCCAATAGATGATGAAAACATTCATGCTTGCGATCGCGAATATGTCTAATTCTAATTAATATTTCGTACCAAATTATAAGCTATTGCGCAATGAACATAGATCTCCGGCTCAGCAAATCCTTTGTATTATTGTTTCACAATGATTTAAAAGTGGTGGTGAACCTTGAACTATGAGTCAACTATTAATCAAAAAAACAACCTCGCCCACCAAAAACTTGGTGCGGTGAGTTCCTCGGGGAATAACCACGGGATGAGTTCTGAAATCCCGTACAATTTATCGTAATACGATCCAATTTATTACATTTGCTCCAATTTATTGGTTATTGACCTTTGTGTTCCTATTTGGGCGCTCCAAAAGTATATGTACCAATATGGAAGTAACTAATTTACATCAAATTCTGTAAAGGGATTGAAACCTATGGGCAGGGGATATATTCACTTGCCTAACACAGACAGTCCCCGAACTCGTAATAGAACTGAAATAAGTAAAATCGGAATAAAATTATGGCCTAACCCTAACCAGGCACACACACTACAGGAGTACTATTATTTGAGCCTTGCTTTTTGTTTATTCGACACGAAGTTGCGTTGTGAATAGTTTTTGTTGAAAAAATTGCTTCTCCACGTAACGAATGGCCCAGATATAAAGTACTCAAAGATGGAAGTCGCCGCACGTCCCAATTTATCCTAATCTAACATAAGATAAACAGAATTAAAGGAAATAAATCGGAAAATCAGCGGTGGGGCAATTACCGTTTTTAGCCCTCTTCTCTACATGGTAAATGAGGGAAATTTCAACATATCTGAAGCATTAACAAGCATACTACATGCCTACAAATTTGATACTATCATTTTTTCTTATTCATCTGAGATAAATACCTATTACGAGAACCAATCTATTTCCGACAAGACTTATTAATACCCATTAAGCACGGCCCAATGAAAAATCCACGTACACGAAATTTGTTAAGACTAATTGCGGTTGACTGGAAGTCATTCAAGCGTGCAAATGAAAACAAAACTCATGTCCAGACTTGCCGCAAACTAACCCACCGTGTCCCGACATGAGCCAGACGAAGGAAATCAGATAAAACTGGAGGTTTAACCCGTAGCCGACCGCAAAGTAGTCACGAGAGTCAAGTCAAACACTGCAAGAAACATTTACTCTCGTTAGATATGCGAATTTCATATTTATCCCGCGGGAGAACAAAGTCGATAAGACGACGGCTTAATCATGTGACGTAACACAGTCTTTCGTCCGGTGACTAGTCCATGCTGGGTATGGCATTACTTAGCCAGTTGTTTCAGATTCATGGACTGATGAGTCAAACAATCTTCTCCCACATAATCGATATGTATTGCCAAATTATCAACGCGAAATTCATTTCTATTTCATGACGGGTTCCCATGCTTTCCCTCCAAACAAGACCTTGGAAAAGCAGTCACAATAACAATTCCTTACGTTGGTGGTGTGACGAGGGTTAACATTTAACCAGCTGTCAATAGGTTTAGCAACGCCGTGCAAGATTTTGCACAAATTCGGCGCCAACGTCGTCAGCAAAGTAATTGATAAAACAACCCTCGATGGCGAGCAGGCGAACAGGGAAAACGATTTGATTTTGTTCAAAGTCCCTAGTCCTCAACTAAATGTAGAATGAATATTAATCGCTGTATATTTATTCTTGCGTCCTATTATGTGCTATTATCTATTATTTATAAAAGGTCGACATTGGTATACCGAATAGAATGAAATGGAACCCCCTTTTTTTCTCTTTTAGATTTCACGATTTGAGCTGAAAACGATTTCAATAAATAAATAGTAAGCGAGAAATTACATTTCGAAATTCGAAAAAAATTCGTTATTTCCCCTCCACGTTCCACGGCTGGATAGCTCTGTACCAATTTTAATGTATTTATTCAATTTCACGCATTCGACAACACATGTTAAAAATTTGAGCATATTTAGGTGCCACGATATTTTCCAACAAATTTTTTTTTTTAATTTAGGACGCTTGAAAAAAGGTCGTATCTTAGCGCATCATTTCT